CCTGTCAGGGCTGACTGCTGGCTCTTCCTTGCCCCAAAGAAATGAACTCTTCATATGTATTTTTCCGTAGAGAAAAAAAGCCAGTATCCAGAAATCATCTTCCTGGGAACAGGGTCTGCCATCCCGATGAAGATTCGAAACGTCAGCTCCACACTTGTCAACATAAGGTACCAGTGCCTTCCCGGGAGGCCTCCGTCCATCGGGGAGCACACAGTGGCTCTGTGCCCTCCAAGTTATTTTGAAAACGCAACAGTATAAGACCCCGTACGGGTGTCACCGTGGCCAGAGCGTTCCTGAAGGAGAGCCGTGGGCCCTGCTGCATTTCCTAGCTTCGGTGGCTGACGCAGACTTCTGGGAGTTCTGAAATTTTCCACCCGAACATAAATGTCTTACCCTTTCATTCCACATCAGCACGTTCCTGAGGCCCAGCGTTCGTGTCGCTCTGTATACTTGCCGTGTTCTGGACGGGGCTGCAGGGTTCCGTGGAGAGTTGCTCTCTCCAAGGGGGGCGGACGTGACAGTGGCCTTGGTGCCGTAGCAGGTGCTCGGAGAAGCAGCGTGCGAGGTTGGAGGAGACCCGCAGCCCGCGGCGGCCTGCCGCCCTTCTGTCAGAATCAGCCCCCGGAGCTGGCAGAGGCCCTTCCTCTCAGCGACCAATGTCTCGCTCCTTCTGCAGCTCCGACAAGGCCCTGCTGCTGGACTGTGGTGAAGGCACGTTCGGGCAGCTGTGTCGTCACTACGGAGATGACGTGGACAGGGTCCTGGGCAGCCTTGCCGCCGTGTTTGTGTCCCACCTGCACGCGGACCACCACACGGTGAGCGCGGGGCGGGGGGTGGGGGGGACTGCAGAGATCCACCCTTCCGCCCCAGGGGCGCTGCTGCCGCCCTTCCCTCTTGCTCCCAAGTGCCCCGGGCTTTGCTTCGACGTCATCTTGTGAGGCAGGTGGGCTTTCACACGCCCCAGGGCAGTAGTTCTGCCCGCAGGAGTGTCTGGCCTTTCTGTTTGCTTTGCTGTCCTGTCACAGTGGGGGTTTTGCCTTCACCCAGGTCGTCTTGAACCTTCTCGCATGGCCTGCCCAGGGGACACTACGGCCCAAGGCTGTCTCCTCGGGGCAGCTGGGCCCCCAGCCACGGCCCTGTCTTTTCTGACCGCGTTGCCTGTGATATTTCAGGTCATGAGTCGGCAAGTGCCACCTCCCACTACCGCAGTGTTAGAGGGCAGTGGCCGACAGAGACCGGGAACCACTGCAGCTTGAGGGCCCTGGGACCCCGGTGCGGGGTCGGGTTTGGAAATGTCTAACCCGCGTCTCCTTTCGCCTTCCTAGGGCTTGTTAAATATCCTGCTGCAGAGAGAGCGAGCTTTGGTGAGTGTGGCACTTGGTTTTATTGCCATTTAGAGTTTGCCTGGATTATGTTGGATACATAACTAGCTGGACCTCCTGCCACTCCGCACTGTTTTGATTGCAGTGTCTGCCATGGATTCCACACTGATTGTGTTGTTTCAGGCATCGCTGGGACAGCCCTTTCACCCCTTGCTGGTGGTGGCCCCCACCCAGCTCAGGCCCTGGCTCCAGCAGTACCACAACCAGTGCCAGCAGCTCCTGCATCACGTCAGGTGAGCTTCCGGGCAGCCCCCCACAGGCTCGTGTCCCCCCTCCTCCGCGAGCTCCAGGTCGGCCTGGGGCAGTCCGCGATGTCCCCGGCCACCTTCCCCTGGGCCCGGCCGCAGGTGGAGAAGCAGGGGAGAAATGCTTTGACTCAAGGGCAAAAACTACTGGACGGTTCCCACTTAAGCATCTGTTTCCTGGGATGCATGTCCTTGCAGCCCTCACTTCAGGTCTGATCTAGGTTTTAGGCTTTTGCCAACTCTTCTCCATAAAACAGTGGCAAGTGCCCAAGTAGTGGCGGGCACAGAGACCGTCCACGCCGGGTGGGCGAGGGGCGGGGGCTGGCCGGGTCCTCCCCTCGGGGGGAAGGTGCTGCCTGCCCGGAGCCCAGCCAGGCCCGCCTGCGTTGGCCTTCCTGGGGCAGCTCACCCATTAGGTTTTGTCAGCGGCCGCTGGTTTAACTTGGTTCTTTTTAATGGATTACATTTCCCATCGTAGTGATAGTAATTTAAATTATTTCTTTGTAATGATTTTGGGCCTTTCCAGCCAGAAACTTAAACTTTGATTTAAGTTAAATGTTTTTAAATGTTATTTCTCACAGTATGATTCCTGCCAAATGCCTTCAGAAAGGAGCTGAGGTCTCCAGCCCCACAGTGGAAAGGCTGATCAGTTCACTGCTGAGCACCTGTGATTTGGAAGCGGTATGGGGGCAGCCGCAGGTCGGGGGAGCGGGGAGGCGGCGGGGAGCACAGCTGTGATTGACCGTTCCCTGCGCCTTCAGTTTCAGACCTGCCTGGTCCGGCACTGCAAGCATGCTTTTGGCTGTGCGCTGGTCCACGCGTCCGGCTGGAAACTGGTCTATTCAGGGGACACCATGCCCTGCGAGGCTCTGGTCCAAATGGGTGAGTGGAGGCAGCCGACTCGGTCCCGCGTGGCAGCCGCTGGCTGTCATCCCAACGTGCAGACATGCCGCAGGGAAGGGGAGACCGTGCGTCGGCAGCAGAGGACGCTGCCTGACGCCTGTGCTCGCTCCCTAGGGAAAGACGCCACCCTCCTGATACACGAGGCCACGCTGGAAGATGGTCTGGAACAGGAAGCTGTGGAAAAGACGCACAGGTAACAGAGACTGCCAAGCCCTCGTCACCCACTCCCTCTCCGTCCCCAGCGGCGCTGAGCACCTCATGTCAGCCCTGCTGAGAGAGAGGACCCTCCAGAGACTGGAGGCAGGGGGGCTTCTGACCTGGGGCAGCAGTTTGCTTCTGGGCCTTTCAGCCTTATATCTGCGGAGTTCTCTAGGCAGGGTTCTGGCGGCAGCCTAGCTTTAGAAAGAATTAGAAACACCCTGGAGTCACCTGGAGCCACGTGAGGGGACCAGCAGGGGAAGGTGGGGCTGGGGGCAGGGCCCTGCGGCGGGCCTCAGCCTGGCCACTTTCCTCAATTGGCAGCACCACCTCCCAGGCGATCGGCGTGGGGATGCGGATGAACGCGGAGTTCATCATGCTGAACCACTTCAGCCAGCGCTACGCCAAGATCCCCCTCTTCAGCCCCGACTTCAACGAGAAAGTTGGAATTGCGTTTGACCACATGAAGGTGTGTGGTGGGGCGGGGGGGGCTGTGTGGGGTGGGGCCAAGGCAGAGGGACAGCACTGTGCCTGCAGGCAGGACGGTCGGGCTTGGGCCAGCCTGGCGGGAGGATGCCTGTCACCTGTTGCGCCCGGCCCCGGGTTTGCGGGCTAGCCGCCCCTTCCACAGGCCCTCCTAGAGAGAGAGCAGCATCCATCGCTGGAAATCACTGAGGGCCTCTTGGAGGCTCCGTGCTCCCAGCAGCATCTCACGTGAGCCTGGCCACAGCCTGAAGGCAGGGTGCCCTCCCCTTTCCCGGGCTGGGCCTGTTTATGAAGAGCTTGATCGGAGTTGGGAAGCCTGGCGTTTCTGAGGCGTCTTCGGTTTGCCGCCCTGGGCTGGCAGTGGGGGTCTGCGCGCTTTCTTTAGTTCCCTGCCTCTCTCCACAGCGCTTGCTTTTCCTTCCCAGCTGTGGTCTGCTGACTCCAGGGTTGGTAGAAAGGGGACCTGGTGCCTGCTGTGGGAGCCCACGCTCCCCTGCTCCCGCTCCCGCCCCCGCCCCCGCCTGGCTCCTCCAAGCTGTCCTCCTCCATCTTGCCTTCCAGGTTTGCCTTGGAGACTTCCCCACGGTGCCCAAGCTGATTGCCCCGCTGAAAGCTCTGTTTGCTGGTGACATCGAGGAGATGGAGGAGCGCAGGGAGAAGAGGGAGCTGCGGCTGGTGAGGGCGGCCCTCCTGTCCAGCGAGCAGGTGAACAGCGAGGCCCAGCAGAAACCGGCACCTGCAGAGGAGCCCCAGAGCCCACAGCGCAAGAAGGTCAGGGCGAAGTGAAGGCCAGGAGTGACCCTGTACTCCGAGAGCTCACGTCCTCCACCCCGTGCTTGGGCACCGTGTGTGCGCCCTTTGCCGGGCAGGAGCCAGAGGGCGCCGTTCCATGGGGGGCACAAGGGAGTAGGCAGTGTGAAGCGGGGCAGGGACTGGCGGGCTGGCCTGCAGGATGTCTCTCAGGAGCGGTGCCCGGCAGAGCCGTGGACTGGAGGCTGCCGCAAGAAGGGAAGCAGGGACGACTGGAGTCCAGTGCCAGCTGGTTTTTAAAGTCACGTGGAAAACGGCACGCCCAGGCCTGCTCTGGCCAAATGATTCCCTCTGCGCACCAGAGACAAGTCATGTCCCAGGGAGCATCAGGTCATGGAGGTGAAATGCTAGTACCCAAGGCTTGAGGAGTATTTCCAAAGACAGGATGCAATAAAGATTCCGTTTGGAACCCAAGTGCTTGGTTTCGTCCTGGTGCCACCTCTGAGCAAGAGTCTCCCTCTGCAGTGTCCCTCTGCTGCCAGGTCCCCTGCCTGTCCTGCAGGCCAGCGCGATGGCACGAGGACCTTGGGAGCCTCTCCCTGGGCGTGGCATCCAGCCCGTCTTCCGGCAAGTCTGGCTGTGCCGGCCGACAGCGGCCTGCTTCCCACACCGACCGCTGGCCGGGCCCATGCAATGGCCAGGACAGCACGGCCTTCCTGCCGTTCTGGGAGCGACGGAGCCAGTCAGTGGGCTGTTCCGTGGCAGGACCAGAACGAGAGCCTCGTTGCCCTTCCAAGTACTAAGAGGTAGCACATTCGGCTGCCTCCCTTGCACCCCTTATGAGAGCTGACAACAATGAGGTTAGTACCTGAGAACTGAGAAGTGTTAAAGGTAAACCTAGTATTTGTGTATTCTCCCTGCCGCGAACAGGGCCTGCGCCGTGCCCTGGCTGTGCCCACCAGCTTCCCCGGCAGCAGCCGCTGGCCGCGAGGCCCGCTCCATGCGTCTTAAAACAACGACAGCCATGCTCAGGGAGAATAAATCTATTTTAATAAGATGACTTTTGACAACTATTTGTACATGTTTTTAAAGGTACTTTCAACCCCTGGGCTTCATTACAAATTGGGTGCTGAGCCGCCCTTGCCAGGAAGTGCGTGAAGCTGTTAGCGTCCAAGTTGGCCAGTCCCACAGTCAAGAGAAAAGCTGTTTACACGGTTGGGAAAAATAACTAAGCATTTAAATTTCTCATTGTACACCTGTACATTGGTTTAGATTGAATGGCTCAAATTAAACAAATATAGAGAAATTTCATATATACAAATATATCATGTATAGGTTTATCATATCTATTTTAAAAGGATAAAATTGTAAAGTTTGACTCTGCATGCATGGCCCGCATGTTTCTCACTGCCTCCGCCTGAAGCGTGACAGGCTCCCCGGTGCTGCCGGGCCCTCCCCGAGCACGGGCGGGGCTCCACAAGGAGGGACGAGAGCCGGGCGCTGCAAGCGCAGGGTGCACGGGCCCTAGGGCCCCGCACTGGCCCCGTGGTCTCCCCGGGCCGGCGGCACTTCTGCGCCGACTTTGGGTAACAGTTATTGCTGTTCACCTGTGACCTCCAGAAAAGTGGTAGCTCCTGGACCCCACGCACCTTGTGGGCCAGCGGCCTCTGAGAGCCCAAGGGGCACAGTTACTGTCACGTTACCTGATGCTTGGCGGGGCATGGGGGGAGCTCCCGTTAGGCCCTCTGCACATCCCGAAGACCACCCTTTACACTCAGACGTGTGGAACGGTACGGTAGAAACAGGAGCTTTCAGTCACAGGGTGTGGAAGAGTGGAACTTGGGAAGTGAAACAGGTTTTGTTTTAAGTTGTGTACTTCAGAGCCCACAGTTGAGGGCAGCAGGCAGGCCAGCGCCCCGGGACTCCCTGGGCCCCACTAGGCCCCCGGGCACAGAGGCCCGGCTCCCTGCTGCCCCTGCTGTGGCCAAGCGGCTGACCCTGGGAGGGCGGGTGTTTGCTGTCAGCACAGTGGCGGCCTGGGCCGCGCCTGGCAGAGCGGCCTCCTTCACAGCCCCGCCCGCAGACGCCCCGCGGGCGAGCCCTTGGGTGGAGAGGGCTGTTGCTTGGCATGGAGGCCGGAAGTGGATCAAATAGGCACAAAGTCAAAAGGCAAAGATCAAACAAAAGGCGAAAGTCACCATCCGAAGGGAACAAACAAAATTGGCACCACCGACATTTGCCACACAGGCTGGAGATGACAGTTTTCTGCAAACCCCCAGCCTTGTGTTGGCAGTGACAGCAAAGAGCCAACGGAGGACACTTGGCAGGCCCAGGGGCGCTCTGACGGTGTTGGTCTGGGCCCAAGTGTGTGCACATGTGTCAAAGGGCGGTGCTCTCAGACTCCTCCTCCGAGTCCCTCTTCTCAGCCACAGAGGGTCGCCGCACGTGCTCCAGGGGACTCAGGCGGAGCGTCGACCCGAGCTCTACGTGGATGGAGGGGACATCAAAGTGAACAAGATCTGGAAGTCGGCAGAGAGAGAGGTGACTGAAAAGGGGCCTTTGGCCAAGGAGGGGGTGGCAGGCAGTGAGTCCGTGCGAGCAAGCTGCAGTGGATTGGCCGGCCGGGGCAGGGCCCGCCTGCCTGGGGACCGGCGGAAGCATCGGATCATGGGGTCGGGGTTGGGGTCGGGGTCGGGTGGGCAGCTCTGCTTCTACCAAGCCAGCCTGTAGGACGAGCGTGCAGACCCTGCCGGGGCGGCTCCCTGCCAGCTGCCACCTGCACTTGCTGCCTAAGGGCCCGTCCCAGCGACAGCTTTCTGGGGATTTCAGGGTTGCACGTGGTCCCCTGGGGCCTGCAGGACAGGGCACAAGACAGTGGGAAAACACCCCGTTTTCCCTGTGAGTGGGGGGGGGGAGTCCTGCGGTTCGCAGAGCCCTCCCTCTGGGGCTGTAAGCAGTGTGCTTCTGATGCCGAAGGGGCCAGGCACAGGGCGCCCTCAGGAGCCTGGCAGCAGTTGCAGCAAACTGCTCCCCAATGTGGGGAACCCCATGTCTCAGCCCTCAGGAAGCGGCTCACTCCAGATGCAGCCCCCGTGGCCCTACAGGTCACTCTTCCTGGGAGATGGTCAGGAAGAAGGTACCTGCAGTAACAGGGCCCAGCGTCCGTGGGGGTCGGAGGCATCTGTGCACGGGCAAAGCTGGCCTGGAGATCCGGCCGCTAGGCCCAGGCAAGGCCACGTGCCAGGCCCCGGAGCTGGAGCTGCACTGCGCCCTCTGCACCTGCCGTGGGGTGACTGTGCGCTGGGGGCAACAGGCCTCGTGGCGCCTGGAGCCCTGGACCCTGTGCCCTTTCGCCTGTCAGGCCGCGCCCTTCCTTGGCCTGCTCAGCGCCTGCCCCCGCCTAGCCTGGCGGTGACCCTGGGCCTGGGGCAGCACCCGGGAGGTGGGGGGTCGCCACCGCAGAGGGGAGCGGCCCTGGGCCAGAACCAGGAAGTGGGGATTTTGCTGGCCTTTTGTTGCAGTGGTTTTTTGTTTTTCGTTTTTAATAAAACATTTAGCCCAAAGAATGTCATACCGAGTAGACAGACAGACATCTGGACACAGCCCTAAAAGACATTATACAGACATGGAAGCTCTTGAACAAAGGTCCTTGTCTCTCACCCGACCCCCAAACGGTCCTCAGGACGTCGTCCCCGCCTGTGGCCACCTGCCGCCTGAGGGGGCAGAGGCCAGTCTCGGCTCAGGTGGCAAGGGCCACCTGCCGCTCCTCCTGCTCCAAAGGGCACCTGCGGGCCTTGGGGCGGCCTGCATCCTGCCCTCGCTGCCAGGCCCACCCCGGGCCTGGGGGCGCTCCTGGCCGGGCGCCCGCCTCCCAGCCCGGCATTCTCTGTGGCGTGGAGTCCAAACCCCACCTCGTCACTGGGGCGAGTACAGCCTTGGACAAGTTTCTTCCCTGTGCCCCACGGTCAGGTGGGAAGAGCAAAGGCGGGGTGAGGGGTCCGTGTGACAGTGCATGGGAAGACCAGCCAGCCCAGAGCGCGGGCTGGGAGGGAGCTGCTCGGCTGTTGTCCTGCCTGTTGTTCTCTTAGAGACCCCGGGGCAGTGGGGAGGTGGGGGGCAGGGAGGGGGAAGAGGCCCGGCTGACCTTGCTGGGGGCCGGGGCCGGGGGGCTTGTTTCTTGGTTTGGAGGCAGCTTCCGCAAAGCTGGAGACCTGCCTGTGGGTGCTGGGTGCCTTCCTGCCATGCCTGTTGCCGGTCTCTGCAGCTTCCACGGGGACACCCACCTAAGGGCCCTCTCTGGCTTACTCTGGCCGCCCCTTCTTTTGAGTGTCTGCTCTTTGTAGAAGGATACCAGGCAGGAACTGGTATAAATGTTCCAAACTATTTTACTGAGGTGGAGAAAGTGAGCTCAGTATGCACTGTGATACTACGGAGTCTTCGGGACGTGGCCGCTGGCAGCCTAGGGGACAGCTAGCTAGACTCCTGGTCTGAAAGTGGAGGCCCGCGAGGGCGCGCTCACACAAGGCAGGCCCCCTCTGCGTGGGGGGGCTGGCACTGGGCAGGTCTGCACCGGACACGTCCCTAAACCAAGGGGCAGGTGAAGCGCTGTCCCTCGGACATGGGACAGAAGTCTTCAGCAGGCACCAATGGTAACAGAAGTTCATTGTGTGAAGAACAAGCCTGTGATCCCTTCAATTCTCAACTGCAGGGAGAGCGGGGAACGGTGGACTAGGTGACTGGCTTTCTCCCCACTCTTGTAAGGCCAAGAGAAAAACACCAAAGCATGGCCAGGGGTCCCAGGAAGCCCCGTGAGCTCGTGGCCCGGCAGCTCCTGCTGAGGCTGGGGAAGCGACAGGGGCGAAGCCGCCATGCGGGTCTGAGCCACATGCAGGGGCGGAGCAGAGAGCGGTGGCCGCCGGCTCCGGAGGGAGCACGGGGCGAGGCTGGGGCCGCTTACCCTGAACATCCCCTCACACGTATCCAACACTGCGGCACATGTCACACAGCTGCAAGGACACAATGACAGGATTCGGAGAAAGGAATAAACATGACAAACAAGAACGCAACAAAAACTATGCCAAAACTGTCACAGTCAGGGGCCACACCAAATCACTGCAGCTTCTGCTCTGGCCCCAAGGCCTGTGCACTCCAGGGTGGAACCACATCTGCTGCCCCAGAATGTGCAAACAGAACAGGCGTGTGTGTGTGGGCGGGGGGGGGGGGGGGCGCGTAATTCAGTCTGCAGGTCAGCAGCTCAGACGGGGGGGCAATGGAAGGGGGTTGTTCCATTTCTCCCATGGTGGCAGGCGCACGGCCTGTCCCTCAGTCCTTTCTCCTGCCCACTCTTTGCCCCCTCATTCTACTTGGCAGTTTCTTCCCAGTGACAGCTGTTGCTCATTCTGTTGCTTCCAGCATCAGCAGCACCCCGTGTCCTGTCCTCAGGTGGCTGCAGTCACTGGCAGGCTGAGGTGCTGGGAGGGGTGGCCCCTCTGGACAACTCAGGGTGCCCACGCGCTCCCGGGGGGGCGTGGCCGTGAGCCCCAGAGGCAGTGGGCCCGTGATGCCTCCCAGCAGGGCTCACTGAGGACGTACATCACCTCCGAGAACCACCAGGGGGAAATGGTGCTCACTGTTGTTCAAGTAAGAATTTCCTTAACTTATAAGCCTTGGTAGATGACAGCAGCTGTACCTTCAACATTAATCATATCCAAAAATAAGCCAAGTCACCAGAAGGCTGCTCCCCACAATATTTAAGTCTCCTGACCCATCACAAACACTCACATTGGACTAGACTTTTCACAGGCAGCGAGGAGAGGAACCGCCCCGGCTAAGCCGGCTGTCTACCCGGGGAAGCGCCGTCGGCGCTGGAGAAGGGCCGTGCGAAGCCCCCGCGCCCCTCGGGGCAGCCTCGCTCCTGGTGTGCATCCGCAGTGCGTGCCTGTGTGTGGGGTGGGTGCACGTGTGTGTGTTTGTGGCAGGTGTGGCGTGTGCGTGTGTGTTGGGGGGGGGAGTGTTCCATCCCCAGCTGCCTCACCGTCTGCTAATTGGGACAAGGCCAGCACCGGTGCTCAGGCCCCACTGCCCGGTGCGGGGGGCGGGGTTCTATTCTAAGATGTGCGGACACCTGGTTTGCCTCCCTGCAAGGGGACAATGCTGTGCCGGCCCCACTGGCCACGGCAAACGTGCCGAACTTCTCATCTCATGGGGCCAGCGCCTGGGGAGAGGTTTCGAACATGTCCTCTTCTAATGACCAACAACCGGCTTATGCTAAATGGGTGTGCTCATGAGTTCATGCTCACACAGCTTTTTTTTGGGGGGGGGGGGCGGGATTCCCCCATCTTTGATTTTAAATTTAAAGCAAAACTAAATGTAGCAATGTGGGCTGATCTGATTAGCTCCTCTAGAGCCGGGGCACACCCCCCTTTTCTGAAGCTGACCCCTGTCTAAATATACATTACTAGAAAAACACTTTCCTAATTAGGCTTATTTAATTAATACAAAAGAAAATGTCTTTGGTTCTAAGCATCGATTCTCGGCTAGGGGCTCGTGCCTGGCTAGGGGCTCAGGGAAGCCTCTGGCGCGGCACGCGCGCTTTCCGCCAGCTGCCCGCGCTCAGCGCCCCGCCTCCAGCCTCTCCGGAGGCCCCGCGCCAAGCACTCAGGGCGCCCAGCCCGCCGTCGAACAGAATCAGCCCTGGGCCGCGGGAATTCTACTGGGGGAATGCCCTGAGAAGCCCCTCTGCGGGACACCCGGGGTCCTCCGCGAAGGGCTCTCTCTGGCTGCTGGGGCATCTAAGGCGGTCGACCGGGAAGCTGCGCACGGCTCCGGCCTGGCAGCCCGAGCGCAGACGGGGACTGGTTAGCTGGCGGCGGCACCAGCAGCCCCTGCACGCGGCCCGTTTTGTTGAGGTTCACAGAGACGCCTGAGGAAGCTGAGGCCCGGTTACCTGTAGACATGCTTTCCCCCGGGGACATGCCGTCGAGCACTGGGTGCTCCGCGGACTGCGGACTGGAGGCGGAGAGGTTCACCGTGGGAGGCTGCGGCGGCGGCAGGGTGGGCCTCTGCCGGGGCTTAGGGGTGGGCCGCGATTTGGTTAAAGTGCTCGTGAAGCTGGAAGGGGAGGCCAGAGGGGGCGCTGCTGCAGCCGGGGAGAGCTGGCCTGAGGCCAAGGGGTACCCCTGAGGGTAGCTCAGTCCGTAGGGCGACGGGGTGCTCGGCGGCGTAGGAGACAGGCTGAGTGGGGAGGGCTGGCCGGGGGACTGCTCCGTCACAGCGCCCGGCTGGCCGAAGGGAACCTTGGGTGGAATCGGGGCCAGCTTCTTGGAAACTGGAAGGGAAGACAACACAACAGCAGCAACACACAATGTTAAACGAAGCTGTGGCCCGTGGGGCTTGTTTGCACGCCCTTCACCACCTCAACCCTTTGCAACCCCCAGCTCTTGGAACCCCAACAGCAGCCCATAGAATTCTTTAAAATTCACCTAGAATCGCGCATTTCCGTGTCTTCCCATCTGTTCCCTAACGTCTCCTCCTCGTCTCTGGATCCCTGCCGTGAGCTGCACACACACACACTTGCGCACAGACACACACGCACATGCCGCCGAACCGCAGGACCCGCCCTCCACCAGCGGCTGTGCGTCCTGCCCCCACCTCTGAGCGGCCAAGGCGTGAGCAGTGCGCTGAGGAAGACCGGTCAGCGACCAGGGGCCGCCAGAGGACAGAGTGCACCTCGTGACAGTGGACCCTGGACGCGACGGCGGTCCTTGGACGAGGAGACGCTGACTTCTGGCTGAACCTGCCTGGGGGCCAAGCCCTCAGACCACAGAGGCCCGGAGCCTCCGTGGCCTTGTCTGCCCCATCCCCGGCCTTTCCTCCCTCCAGGACTGGCCCCACAGGGGTGGTTTTTTTTTTGTTTTGTTTTGTTTTGTTTTTTGAGAACCGTGCCCTCCGGGGCTAACTGCGCAGATGCCTTGCAGTGGCCTAGGCACCGTGACGCTGCCCCACCTCCTCCGCGTTGCCTTCTTTCTCCTTTTCACTTCATGCTAAAGGATGACGAGTGCCTTACACTTTTCACTGAAAACGAGCCGGGGAGGATGAGGAATTCAAACACTCAGGGAGAACATCTGGAGACAGTGATCACTCATCTGTCAGACTCAAGTGAGGGCAGCCTGTGGGTACCTGAATTCTAGAAGAAATGGTCCTTCACGCCTCACGGGGGTATCAGGGACTCTCCTCTCCCCTCTCCGTGGGACAGAGCCTATTCTAGCCGGGCCTCAGACACTTCCCTGGCTCCTTCGGTGCAGACAAGAAGGGGACATGTTCTTCAGGGTCCCACCTAACGCCCATCCCTCTGCGGCCCACCCACTGGATGCCATGAGGTAGTGCGCTGGGCCCTCTTCTCCGCGGCACATCACAATCACGCAACGGGCCCTGCATGCCTGGTGCCACATCATCGTGCCTCAACCAAACCACGTGTCAGCTCTGCTGGCTGAAGCGGGGTGACTCCACTGTGGGAAGCCATTGAATACCCCACGAGTCACGCTTGAATGCATCTTCTCCTATGTGAGCAGCGAGGGAGGACACAGTGACATCACCATGTCTGTGATGACATTTACCACTTCTGGGCAGTTACGGGACGAGGCTGTGGGGTAAAATGATGGGCACATTGTCAAAAGATTGAGGAGTTTAAGAAAAAAAAAGCTAAGTGTGCCATTAGTGGGCAGCGGTGGAGGGTGGAGAAGAAAGTTGTACCTTTCACATGATAACTGAGCTACTGAATGTCACCTCTGGGCTGCGTTCCCTGCACGGGCCCAGTGTGCTGTGAAAATGGAAAGTCCAAGCTGCCACTGGCATTAGGAAGCTGCCGCTTTGGGACAAAACAAGGGCTTGGCCATGACCCTGTGCGGTTGGGCTGGTGGTAAAGGCCCCGCACACAAACAGGGCCCAGGAACTCTCCCGAGAGCAAGAGGGAAACCCGTCGCTGTGGAGAATAACCCGGGAACGCTCCACAGGACCCACAGCGCCCCAAGCAGCGGTCCTCAGAGCTCAGCACACACTGGGGCCAGAGACGACCTGTGGACGCAGAAGGCACGCGCAGGGACTGGACAGGAGGGCGGGGCGGGGAGCAGACCTGGGGCAGCGAGCTTGGGCCGGGGGGAGCGCCACGTGAACCAGCCCAGTCCCTGGTGCTAAAGCCGCCTCTAGAAGCTGCAAAGGCCTGAGTGGAGCACAAACTAAACACAATGCTATTTTCAACCGTTTAAAGCCTTTGCAAAGCAATGGCATAAGGTAAAAACAAACAAAAAGGCCAGAGAAGCACACGTGGCCTGCAGCTCTCCATCTGCACAAACGTCCCCGCGGAGCCTGTCTCCGGCTTTCGGGAGTCCTTTCAGAGAGAATGAGAGGGCCTTGGACAGGGGGCTCCAGGGGCAGATTCTGGGTTGGGTGGCTCAGAGGTCAGGGCAGAAACGCTCAGAGCTTCTAAAACAGAAACATCGAAGGGCAGGACTCCTGTCGAAACAATTCGATTGTCCTGTTCTTCAAAGAGCCGGGACGGGTGGCTGCGTGAGGCCCCGGCTGGGGAGCAGGGGTCTCCTGCAGAAGGCTCCACCCCCGTCTTAAATGGTGGCAGTGGTGTGGCGCCTGGCGGGGGCCACGGAAGACACTCCCCGTCCTGCGCAGTCACTGTTCGGGGGGCTTGTGTACAGACAGCCATACCCTATACACGCCCCCGACGAGCCCACTGTCCAAATGAGTAATCTGAGGATCAGCGATGGAACGACCCTTCTTGGAGCTGGTTAACTCCCAAAACCTCTAACGCAGACCAGGAATGTCTCACAAAGCGCACGGACGGTTTCTACATACCCATGCCAAGCGAGGGAAAGGAGTTTTCGGGCAGCGGGCAGCTACCCTGGCCTGAGGCCAATGTGGAGGGCGGGAGGCGGGACGTACCTTTCCGGAGAGTGTGGGGGCTCTGGTCTGCGGGCAGCTGGCTGGGACTGGCGCCTGGCTGCGTCCCTGGCTGCGTCCCTGCACAGGGTGGCCCCTGGCTGGAACCCGGACTTCCCTTCTGCCCAGACCCCGGAGAAAGTTCCTTGCCTTTGGAAGCACTGAAACACAAGCACACAGGACAAAGGAGAGGTGCTGAACTCGGGCAACCTCGCCACCAGCACGTGGATGGCCATGTGTGTTCTCCCGGGCCAGCTCTCGTCTGTCTCAGGACCTTCCTAACCTCTTCAAGGTGCCCCCAGCGGTGACTGTCCCTGCTTGGGGCTCTGACGTCCCCCCTCCCGTCCCCCCGAGGCACTCACTGCCTGCTTCCTTTCCATGCCTCTGCCCTCTCTCCACCAGGAGGCCCGAGCAACGGCTGGCAGGGCTCCTGAGGGCTCCATCCTGTGATCGACCCTGGGACTCTTGGACATCCTGAATGTGGGACACCTCAGTGTGCTTGTCCGTTCTGTAGCCCCAGCACAGCAGAGCAAGAGGACTCCTGAGTGTCAGTGTGCTGATGAGGGCTGAGGGCCAGGCTCCCCCCGTGAAGCCGCGTGGCCACAGCTCTCTCCGACCCTCTGTAACACCCCGGAGCGGGGACGAACCTCCTCCTCACACTCAGCGGGTGCAGCAAACAGCAGGGTTGAAACAGACCCGGCTGTGCTCCCAAATACGGGCCATTCAAGTCCCAGCCCTCCAGCCTTGGAGGGTGGATCAGGGTCAATGGCACCAAGCATCTCTGGAGTCCTTCCAGTTGATAAAGGGCCGCCCTGAGCCAGCAGGTCCCAAAGAGGGCTCATGCCTCACTGGCTCTTTTGGGATCGGGTAGGTGTTAAGAGACACCCCTTTCAACTCTGCCCCACAGACCAGGGACAGCAAATATGTGGCTGACTCCTCACTCTCTCCCATCCCTCGCATGCCACCGGTGGTGGGCTTTACCAATCGAGCTCCACGATTCCCCACAGGGTCCTCACCTGTGTTCAACATAAAGGTGCAGGAGCCACTAGGGAATCAGGGCACTGACCTTGGAGTTGGGAGCTAACTGTCGTCCTCGTTAAAACCTACCTGGAATCTGGTGCCCTCAGGTAGGAAACGGAAAGGGGAAGCGTGGAAACCTAAGTCCTTCACGCTGGTTCTTTCTTCCCCACAAAAGCAGTGACAGCCCCTTTCTTCCCTGAATTAGTCTGGAAACTCCAAATATCAAAGAGCTAAGAGTATGCTACTCACTCCCCTGGGGTGTGGAGAGAAAGGCCGCAGGGGCCGGGCTGGCCCGCACACATCACCCGAGCTCAGCTGGCCCTCCCCATGTGCGGGGGGAGGCGGCGGCCTCGTCCGAGGTAGCAGAAAGCCCGCCCTCTCTCAGGGTGTACGTCCCACCACGCCCAGGTGATTAACTCCCCAAGGAGAAAGGCCATTTCCTCGGAGGCCCGGAGGCCCGAAGAGCACTAACTCCTCTCTCTGTCCTGTGAATAAACGGCAAGAACGGCAGCCCAGAAGCCCTGCCTTGCTCCGGTTGGGCGGGAGCTTTCTTTTCCTCTTCCCTCTCCAGGCCCAAGGTGAGCAGATGCCCAGGTACTGATGCCGAACAGCCCTCCGCTCTCCTGCCCGTCTCTGCCTCCCAGAAGAGGAAGGTAAAATAAAACAATAAGGCAACAAAAGAAAACACAAGACAAGCAAACAAAATAACTGCTTCTTGTGGGGTAACAGACTCTTCTTCTATCCCCTAGGTGGACAAGAATCTGGGGACAAAAGAGCTCACCGTTCTTTCCGTCCCACCTGGACATCCCCCCATGGCAGAAACAGCGCTCACCTAACGTGGCCTGCATCCGCTCCCCGGCCCAGGTGCCGCTGACCCGGGGTGAGAGCGGGGCGTCACGTGAGGCGGCCCCAGGAGCACCGCGTGGTTGAGGGGCAGTTACAACATGTTTGAGGACGGGTTAATTTGGGGATGCAGGACTCAGGGAGCTGGGGTGCAATGGGGCAGGAAGCAGAGTGTGGGGTTAGAGGTAATGCCAAGCAAATGAGCAGGGTGCAGAGGCTGAGCCCGGCTGGAGAAAGCCGCCAGCCTCAAGGGAAGAGGGGATGGGGGAACAGTCCTGGCGGGCAATGGCGGGGCAGTGGGGGGAGGAGATGGGAGCAGGCCCGGGGTGGGAAGGGGAGCCCCGTAGCAGGGACCCGGCGACTGGAGGAAAGGACATCGGGGCTGCAAGTGTCCAGAAAACAGGAAAGACAGAGAAACAAAAAAGCAACAGAACAGTGGCATTGGGAGGAATCGTGTCGGGAGAGTGAGAGAGGGGGCAAGGCAAACAAGGCCAGGACCCCCACAGGAAGGCCACAGGACCGGCTCCTCGGGCCAAGGGGACGGCAGGGCCACAGAGCGGCGGGACTGACCTCCTAAAGACCTGAGCCAGTGGGCCATGTTCCCGCCCACGAGAGGCTCTGCAAAGCCACCCATCCGTAACGTCCGGGAACACCTCAGGGCCAGGGGAAATCCACCTCTGAGGGGCATTTTCTAGAAATATCATTTATATGTCAAATGTTGTTTGGCACCAAGCGCCCGTCATAAGATGGGAAGTCAGGATGAAGCCAGGGAGTGTCTGTCAAGGGAGTCTTTCCAGCAAATTTCCTGTTCGTCCACGTCCCCCTCCCTCGTCTGCCTTTCCGGCCCTCAGCCCTCAGCCCCTGCTTCTCCACTGGGCCCGCTCCCCGGTCCGCGTCGCTCCGTGGACCGGTGGCCTGGGGAGCGCCCGCCCGGTCCAGCTCTGCTGGTCCCCTGAACTGGAGCCATCGACAACAGCCCGGGCACAGCCAGTGTCAGTTCCCTCTCCCGAGCTCTGCCACTGTCCCCTCTCCCTCTGTCATTTCCCCATTCCCACAATACCTCCACCTGGGGAGTGTGAGTTTGTGCACGTTGAGTGCTCATACAAGCAAAGATAGGGGGAAAAGGCTCAGCTTCTCCAATTTTTCACAGCAGTGGCCACGGAGGGATGCTGCACCCTCCCGTGACATGCAGTGACATCGGATTTGGTGTGGCCTTTCTAGTTCTCTGAACTGCTGTTCGAGAACAGATAGAAACGCATGAACAGATAGAAACGCACGAACAGAAGAGCAAAGTAGCTCGCTGTGCAAGTCCCACTTCTAGAAGCCCCTCTGACTGCACCCCTTTAAGGAAGGGCAGGCCCAGCGTCCTTCTGCGGAGACCCTGGTGTGACCTCTTGCCATCATCATCAGCGTGAGCACCTGCTCGCTGGAGTGCGCGTGCCTTAAAGGCACAGAACGCGTGTTTCACCTTCGCATGGACATGGTTCTCCGCAAGTGTTTCCTGAACTAGTGATGAAATGGGCTTGTTCTCTCTTTTTACTCTCTAGGAGGATGGAAATACGGCCCCGCGGCTGGCTGCAAAGGTCGCCAGGCCAGCATGGCCGCACGGCCTCCCCCTCTTCCCTGATTTGCGCCCACATGAGCAGTGACGATGGCCCCTACAAATCTAAAGGCAGAGGAGAGGACAGAGATTCTGAAATTCTAAAGTGCAAAATAGGAAAATGGTAACGGTGTAGCGAGGGGAAATGGAGAGCTGGGAACCGAGGTTCCTCGCACCTCTTTACAAGCTGCCACCCGATACACTTGCTGTCTGCTTGGGGGTGTTGTTCTTGGAGAGCCTGGCCTTTATCGATAACGCAGGGGGCTGTGGACTTACTGGGAGCCAGCATGAGGCAGAAAGCTGGCATGAACGCTTAGAAATGGAGGCGGGTGATGGAATCCAAGAGGCTGGAAGTGGGTGCAGTGAGCCCTTGCCCCCGCCCCCGCCCCGCACTGAAGGCGGCCTGCCGGGGCTTACCTGGTCCGCTCCGCCCCAGGCTGGAGGCCCAGGCTGGATGGAGAAAGCGAGGGCAGCGCGGGGTCCTCTGAGGGCTGCTCCGGAAGGGGCGAGGGCAGAGGCGCGGCCAGCTCTGCGGGTGGGGCGGGGGGCTGCGTGGAGGGCGGGGCGCACGACCCTTTCCGGCCTGCCGAGGAGCCTCTTCGAGCCACCCAGGAGGTGTCCATCACCCTCACGCCCATGCTGGCGAGGGACACAAAGACAGGTGCTTATCCAAGCATGACAGGTGAGAGGCTCCCTCCCCCACGAAGCGGACACATTCAAGCAGGTCAGTGGTAGAACAGCAGTGCAGCCTCAGCACCCTCCTGGACCCAGGGAAGCGAGGAGGCGCGGGCAGGGCTCCCCGGAGTGGGCGGCCGCACTGGGAGCCTCCAGCTGCCCCACCAGCCTCGCCCCAGCCAGCAGCTGCGCTTCCACCCGCCTCCAAAGCCAGCTGATCTTTCAGGGCAGAACGCAGCCTGTCGGGGGGCGGTGGGGGCACCCACTCCTCCCACGTGGGAGATGCGGGTGAGCAGGACAGGGACAAGGGCAGCGTGAGACTAGAACAAGGCAGCGACCAGGACCAGCAGGAGACATCTCAGTGCCTGTGCTAACCCCAGGGCCTGGCCAGGCTACCACCTCCGCAGGTCACACCCGCTTGTCTACACTGCGGGAAGGGGCTGCTCATGCCTACAGTCACTCTGCTCCGGTTCCCCTTCAATGATGGGAACACCGTCAGCTTCAAGTCAGTCGGCCAAGCAACCAGACACGGCACATTCACCCTCTGGCAGAGCCCACTAAGGCATGGCTCGCTTAGTTCCCAGAGACTGAACATGGCCTGCAGCTACCCGAGGATACTGTACCTTTGGATTTTCCTAAGGCTGCAGGGACAGAAACATACAGATATTAGTGTCAAAAAAAACTGTGCCTCCCTTCGGACATACAGGTTGTCTCCTGTCAAGGTCGAGGTCTCAGCATGGGGCCTTCACTGTGCCAAGGAATTGTTTCTCCTTTGTTGGTCTCTTGAAGTGGCTCTTCTCGGCGTGTGGGCGAAAACTCTTATCCTACCGAGCTCACGGGGGAACAGAGGGAGAGGCTGCGGAGCGGACACTGGGGCGTGTAGGGGTGGCGGGGAAGGAAAGGGCAGCAAAAGGGAGGAAAACACTGATGGGGGGACTGGAGTCGTTGGCTCGATTCACAAGGCGGTCAGGGCCCTTTCCCCTGGTCCGCGAGGTGCATGGTCAAGGCCTTCACTGACCAAGGCAAGAGCTAATATCTCAAGTATTAAGGGCAGATGGAGACATTCGCTCAGGGAGAAAATGCGTGCTCCCAGCCCGCGTCGGTCTCTGCCAGGCGCACGAGCAGCGGGGTGTGGTGATGAGGGTTACCCTGTGCTTTCTGTCACCGCCTCGCCCACGCCGGTCAGAGGCACAGAGCTATCGCACTTCTTTTCCTTCCCATGACATCCTGCTTCCCTACAAGGCCACGTTCACCTTGTACAAGTGCAGCAAATTTTTTTTAAAGGGGGTCAGGCTTGGAGATTGTAGCAGGCGGGCTTTGGGTCCTTTACGGAAATAGGCCTTGGGCTGAAGCCTGCAGCGAGGTGCGCCGTGAAGGACCAGGGCTACAGACCACGCACGCACCGCACGGGGACAGGGACAGCTTCCTGCGCTCCCTCCTCTGCAGGACCCTGAGGCCTCTCCGCATCTCGTGTCAGTGCTAACGTTTCCAATCTCCTGCTGATGGCTCTGAGCAGGCACCTGCGTAGGGAGCGGGCGCGGTGGGGCCAGCCTCTCACCAGGACCCACCATCTTTCAGTACCATCTTGGATCTAAGGACCCTCCACCGGAAAGCAGCACCTTCTGTAGGGGAGGCAGAATTGCTCTGGGAGGCCACCCAAAAGCCTGGGACAGAGTCCAGGCGCATCTCTGAAGTTTAAAGTGAGCTGCAAGGGAGTATCAAGCTCTGCTCTTGGGCTTCAGGTTTATCAGGATGCAAAGAGCAAGGAGTTTACTATTCATCCCACTGTGGGGAGGGAACAGATGCCACTTAAAGGCCATGGTCGGCGAGGTGGCAGGCATGCACAATGTCTCCCGAGGTGGTCAACAGAAGGAGCCCTAAAGGATGAAAGTCTCACCCTGTTTCCTCTTCCTCGCCGATTCCCTATCACTTAGGAAAGCCTTTCTCACTGATGGATGTGGGGAGGGGAGGAGAGGCTCGGGATGCAGGGTCAGGTCGGTGGGACATGCACCTACTTCCAGCGGCGCCACCAGCAACCTCGCGTGGCAGGCTGCCTGGGGCACGGGGCATGGGCAGAGTGAGACCTGCCAGGTGTCAGTGGCACAACGTCAGCAAGCAAGAAATAACAGCCGAACATGCGCTTCTGCCTTTACAGAGAGGCTTGCCTTGCTGTACGTAGTCACCACCCAAAATTGCTTTCTTAGGGGAGGCAGCATCCTATGTTCACAGTGCACATGCCTCAGGTGGCCACTGACATTTGCAAAATATAAGAACAAGAAGTCAGGGTAAGGAGACAAGGGGCTGGGGATGCAGAATTCTTGCCGGTTCATTCATGGGGTCCACAGGGGGCAGGGGCACAGTAGGCCAGGTGACACGTCCTCACCTGGGCAAGGCAGTCCCATTTAACTCCCCCCAGTCTACCAGGACCTTATGTTTGTGCGGAACTTATCATAAGGCATTTTTCATGAGTATTTTTCATGAGATTACATCCTGGAATAGGTTCTGAAACAATCCCAGCCTCCTGACCCAAACCATTCACTGACTCAGTAAAGCTCCCTCCTCATCTACAGAAGGAAGCTAATACCTCCCATCCCACTTGCAGCATTTCCATAAAGGGATTTTTATCAATGACTGGGCGCTAGGATACATGTAGCATGCCGTTGGGCCACTACCTGGGGGAGGCAGCCGAGTGGGCACGCACGGGATTGTGGTGGAGTGAGAGGTGGGAAACACAGGCTGTGCCTGTAAGCGGTCTGTCTAGCTACACAAGTGGAATTTCATGGGGTTGACCAGTTGGAGGCGCAAAGAAGCACATGCTGTCTTGACGGAGGGGAGGTAAAGGCTTGGTGGCTGGATAATGTGGAGCTGGAGTGGCAGCTCCATGATGGCGACCCCACTCCCGGTCCTGCTCACCCTGGTTCTGCTCGGGAGCAGCACCATCCTGGGGGCAAGAGCAGGGCTTTGAAAGGAGGGCGTTGGTGCCTGAATCCCATCTTCTCATCACTGTGTGATCTGGAGGAGCTGCTGACCATCCAGCACCCTCTGCGGAACACCACCCCACTCTCCTAGGGTTGTTGTAAAGAACCACCAGAACGGGGAGTACAGATTCCTCAGCCTCTCCCGAGAGATCAGGAAGTGGTAGCCTGGATTCGGATGACACTCTGTCCTGGTAGGTGCCAAGTGCAAATGATTTTAAACAATCCCCATGGATGAGTACACAGAGTGAACCCTAGTCTAAAACAGGCCGATCAAAGGCGGACGAAGGATATCGTGTCAGTGAATCAGGCACAGTAGGCGATGGAGGCGTTGGAAAGACCCCCGCCTGGGTCACTCAGCTGGGCTTACAGGGCTGCCATCAGATTCCTTCCCTTCCTAGCACTGGCCCGAAACGGGAAAAGATTTGGGGTGGCTTCTCTGCTGGACGTGAGGGAAACAAAAACAAGGAGCGAGGTCAGGGGCCCCTTTCCCTGCGCTCCTTTGTCTTCTAGGAATCTCTGAGTTAGATGGGCCACGGCGGGCTCCCGAGGAGGGGATGCCGGAAGCCTGCTCGGATGATTCTAGGCTTAAGGAACAGAAGAGCAAAGGGGATCCTCACAAAACTCCCAAGGCGCACTGCCCAGCCCAGGCCATTAGGACAGGAAAGAAGGAAAGCACAGGCTCGTCTTGGCCGACAGCTTCTCTGGGGAAGGAACTGGGATGGGGGCTGAGGACTCAGCCAGGAATGGCCACAGCCTTCTCACCTGCAGAAGGTCTCCCACGCCCCCGAGAGCCCCCTGCAGCCTTCCCAGTCCCTGGCCAGTCCACTGGGCCTTAGTATACGTTGTGCTTGCAGAATTAGCCCAGTCGCTCCTGAGAAGGCGGAGACAGATAAAAACATCCGAGGAGTTTTTAGTGAGATGTCAAAGAACAGGATGGTCAGGGCACCTCCCGGGTGAGAAAGTGTGCCCAGCCATGTTGCTGACTTAAAAATGTAATTTAAAAAACTAGTGTGTGTTCTAAACACAGCTAACATTAACATATACCAGGCATTGTTTTAAACACTTTATAAGTAAAATTTTATTTAATGCTCAAAACAATTCTAAGGTTAGTGTTTACTATTATTTCTCCATTTCACATATGAAGAAACTGAAGCATTCAGAGGTTAAGTGACTTCCTCAGGTCACATGGCCAGACTGTGAACTCAGCCCGATGCTGAAGTTCATACTCTGCATTTTCAAAGGGCTGTTTCCCATGGGGTTATTCTTCTTGCACAAGGTGGGTAAGGAAAGGGTGTACAACGTTAGATCTACGAATGTCTCCTGATGAAGGAAATAGGGTGGTCTTCGTGCTTGGCCTCTGCAACCTGGCAGGCCACACAGGAAAAACATAACATCCAGAACCTTAAACATTGAAAGAGACAAAGGCCTGCCCCAGCAAAAAATAGAAATAAAAAACCAAAATCTGAAAGTTGGAAGATCCAGGTCCAAGGAGAATAGGTGTCTACCAAAACAACACATTCATCACTGAGCAGAGTTTGCTGTGGACCATTCTAGGAAATAAGTTGTCAAGAGTTAGCAGTTGTTGTTTTTCCCCTCTGTAGGACAGATATCCGCAGTGCTATTTCTGAACCCTGGTTAGGAACATTCTTTGCTAGAGACGTCAGCCAATATTTGGCTTCGAAATGTTTAAGTCTATAGAGATCTAGAAGGTTTTAATTTTTGTTCTGGAGATCAGTTACATTTGGCAAAGGCCAGGAGAAAGGAGAGAATAAATGGGTTAGCCGTCAGATGCAGGCCCCGGGGAATTTGGGTAGCTCCCCAAATACCCATCGAAGACTCAGAAGTTCAGAGGATGTTTAAGATGAACTTGGAGGATGTGTAGCAGTGGCAGCGACCTGTGGGGTCACCATATGGTATCCTAGGTAGCCAAGGTGAGTGACAGGGGCCTAAACATCTGACACACTTGGTCTGTCCCACACGTGCCCAGGGAGACCAGAACCAGGTAATTTGCAGTTCCTCCAGGGGTGAAGCCCCTCCTAAGTACTCGACGACAAAGCGTCCTTGCCTCCCCAGTGCAAGTAAAGGCTGCGGTCAGTCTGGCCACGCTTCACAGACCTGGTCTCAGCATCCGCGATGGGTGAGTCCTGGACATTTGGAAGCTGAGGTGGGGCCTGGGCCATGAACGTACCTCTCAAGGCTCCATTTATTTGCCCAACCCAAACCCAAAACAAGAGTCAAATCCTCCACTGGCACGTGGACGGCTTTCTCGATAAGCACACCGTAGGCTCAGGCCCTATGTGAAATGAAGCGATGGCACCATCTGTCCACAACTGCAGTCCATCCTCCCACTTAGAAAAGCAAGTCCCTCGCGCCACTAGTTGGATTGTTTTGTGACAACAGGCTCTGTGATCAGAAAGCCTGGAACAGGATGCACACCACAGCCGCCTTATGAGGACTGGCAGGTAACAGAAGGGGTCTTCGCAAAGCCCCTGTCCCGCTGCCCAGCCCAGGTCACTGGGGCAGGGAAAAAGGAAAGAATAAGAGGTGTCTTTGGGGAAGAAACCGTGAGAGGGAGCAGAGGGCTCATCTTGGGATGGCAACAACCTCTCCCGCCTACAGAAGGTCTCCCGTGTCCGGGGGGGGCCCCTGCAGCCTTCTGCTGT